TCATTGCAATAATATAAAGAGTTCACAAACAACGAAGAGGGTAAAAGAATAGACCAAGAGATTTTCTCAAATCTTCTTAGCTTTTCTTCTTTCTTCCCAAGGCAACTTGTAGCTCTTGATCTCCTATTTTCTTGTATCCAAAACCTTAATGCCCTAGGGGTGAGGGAAGATGGGCCTTTTATAGCAGGAGCTCAATAGGGACAGATTATGAAATTCCCGCAAAGCTTTCCAAATATTGCCCAGGAAATTCGACGTGTCGAGTTTTGCTCGCCATCCGTCACGCCACCTACTGGAACTTCTCGACGCGTCGAGTCTTCGGCGTTGATTTCCCGAAACATTCTGGATTTTCTCGATGCATCGAGTCTTCAATTTGTGCCCTCCTTTTGCTTCTGGAATTTTTGGACGTGTCTAGTCTGATTCTCGACGCTTCTAAAACATTCAAATCAAGTGTAAACTATATCTTAAGAAACATGTACAATTAAGTTAACATTAATACACACACACACACACACACACACACACACAAACATAGATCCTTCCGTCACAAGCTGGTTAAGTGGACGTCAAATGAAGGGGTAAAACAATATTTTAACATGCTCTGCGTATAATAGCTCTTCATTCTCCTCCCCTTTCAAGCCAGCATTATTACATGAGCAGTAAGATTCCTTCTTTAAACTGGCACTGGAATTCACAGCTGATTTCCTCTCCCACTAGCCGGGTAGATCACCTAAAGAAATCTCTGCTTCAAAGGGTGTCAAAAGCGGTTTCCCAAATGTGTCTCCCCAATCAATGGATAGCCGAGGGCAATCGATTTGAATCCAAGCTTCCATTGAATCCTCAAACAATGTAATCCTAGTAGGAGATATCTCTAACATCATAATCACTGTCCAAGTCATCTCCTTTTCCTCCATCTTCTTTTCCAACATATCCAAAATCCTTGGATTTCCTTGCCGCCCTAAAGTCCCTAACACTACTCCCTAGTTCTTGGCTCCCTTTGCCTTCTCAATTGCTTTTCTCCTCTCCTCCTTCATCCCATCATGATCATACTCCTCAAGAAACAACTTCCCTATGTATGGATCATACCTATATGTCATTATCTCTAGATTAGCAATCATAAATGCTTACAAATGAAACCTACCATCAGCAACAAAGATCAAAACTGCATTGTATGGACTACAAATCTTACTAACACTTGGAGTAGTGCGGTGATTGTAGCATATTTTGACAAACAAATACCTAGAGTATTTCAGAGTTATCAATCCATAGAGAAATGAGGTATTAAGCACTAGCTACTAATTCATTCACGGGAAGTTATTCCTAACATCACGAGAGATGGTTCAATATAATAATAATCAAATAATAGTAAAATAAAGACAAGGCAAGTAAACTTGAAAATTCAATAGAGTGAAGAGTGAGATTTTTGGGGATCAAGTGTTTAATCACCTAGTGCCAATCTATGGTGAAATAATTAATTTGGTCTTAAACAAGTGTGAAAGATTGCATACAAGTGTGAAAGATTGCATAATTCCAAGTGTGATCCCAAAATCTCAAAGGTAAGCTTAGCCAACCATGGCTAACATAGTCTTCATTACACAAGTATTAAGGAAGATGCAAGAAACAATGAAAGTAAAAGAAAAAGGGAAGAGATTCTCCCAAATGATGTTCTTCCAAGCTTTGCCTCCGCCTTTCGTGCGACTTGAAGCTTCCAATCTCTTCTGTTTTGGCCTATGGTGTGATTCTACTCTTCCAAGGTGTGGGAATCCCTCCTCCTTCCTTTGAAGTTTGAAGAATCACCTCTCTTCACTCATTTTTTCTTCCCAAGCCGCCTCCAATGTTAGGGTTTGAAGGAATGATGCTATATATAGTGGGTGGAGAATGGAGGTCAGAAAAGACAATTTTTGCATAAACAGTTCTCAGATCTGGAGCTCTCGACGCGTTGAGCCTTTATAGCACAAAAATATGGCCATTCTGCCTCTTCTAAACGCGTGGAAAATAATTCTCTAGACGTCGAGAATCCTCCTACGATGCAGGTCTGGTTTGTAGGCTGATTGTAATCCTTTTCCATTTCGACATAGACTTTGATATATTCATAAGAGTTGTATCCCTTTAAGTCTTCTTTCCAATGGCGCAAGAATCACTTCATTTGGATATTCATAGACTGAGATATGGTCCAAATACCGAACAATGGTCAATATGTGCGAGAATTTTAACTTCTTGCTCTTTTGCTCCAATTTTGCCTTGGTTTGCCCAAGTGATCAAGACCATTGAAGAAACCACTATTTGGCTCCCTTTGAAGTATTTTAACCACCTCCTTAGCTTCACCTTGACTTCAATTGACTCGAGATTCATTCAAAATGCCCCGAAAGGCATACGATTGGCTTCTAATTCAACGGCTTATGCACCTAAGGATATAAACAAATGAATTAAGGAACATTTTGCATAAAATCAAAGTATCTTTCACTCAAAATAGGTCTATATATGGGGTAGAAGCATGGATATAAATACACTTATCATGCAGCCCAACACTTCTCCAGCTGATAGGGGTTTAGTTTGAGGTATCAAAACCCTAAACCTTAGTTTTTCCAACTCGGGTTTCACAGCTCAAATTGCACCGGCAAACTGAATAGTCCCAACCATAATGAAATGATCATACTACTCAGGGGCAAAATTGACTTTTAACTTGTGGAGAAGTTTTCATACATCAATGGCGATTTCAACGAAGATGTAGAGATAGGGGATTGTTGTGGTGTCGATAGGCAACTGTGGCCGTAGTGCATGAGGAGGTCAGCAGAGAGCGTTGTGGCGGAGAGGTTGTCGACGCAGCAAGCACCGTAGGTGACGTCGCCGAGGATGAAACAGTAGGTGGCGGAAGTGAACGTGGAGAGGATATCGACGATAACGAGGGAGTACATGAGGAGGCCCTCCGGGAAATGCAAAAGCGACGTGTTTTGCCCCCGTGGAGCATATGCGCCAAACGCACTTGTGAATCTTGAAGTTGTAGTTAGCTGGTGATAACGTGGTTTTTATTAGTAGTGGAATGTGTGTGAAAGAGTGTAAACGGAAGTGTGGAACTCCCGAATGTCGAACTCATGGATGGCAAATCGGAGCAAACGAAGTGCAAGACAATTTGGTGTCAAAATATATCAATAGGATAGATGATGTAGCAAAAATAAGATGTGAGCTCGGGTGTGTTATATCGTCCTCAGGGGATTGGGGGATATGGCACGCAATATGCAATCACAATAAACTAGGCACTAGCATAAGGAAATCAACAAGAAGCTAAGCAAACTACAAGTTTAAGGAAGTGATAAGACTAACACATATACACAAAGATAAAGACAAAATAAAGAAATAGGACTCAAGCTAGGGAGCATTATCATCTAGATGCTTTAACAACCTAAGGGATTAGGGAGAACAAGTAAGCAAGGAATCAAGCGGGAATGCACGTAGGTATCCTAGTCTACAAACCATTTTCGTGATTAATAAACAAGGATTAGAATAAGGAATTGCCCCACTTTCGTGGTGAATCAATTCCAAGTCCATCAAGCACACAAAGCATCTAAAGCCCCCAATTTCCCCTATTTTCGTAGGAAGAAATCGGGTCTATGCAAGGGGTGGCTTGGATTCATCACCCAACTCTCGTTGAGGCAAGGAATCCTCCAAAAATAAGCTAATGAATGTGTACATCAAACATTAACAAGATATAAATACAAAACCTTCACAAACACATGAACCCTAGGTTGGAGTTCTTCCCCTTTTTGCAATAATCACAAATCAAGCATCAAGATAGATAATACAACCCTAACTCAAGTCCATAAACTAACTACTCATGATTAAATAGCATAAAGAACACAAAAACATAAGTGTAAAGCATAAACATTGCAAGATAAAGAGATAAAAGGGAAAAGAAGATTATCTATTGAAATGATGGTAGAATCTTGAAATCCAAGTGTAGATCCTTCAATACAAGCTTGAAATGTGTTAAGAAACATAAATCTAAGTCTCACTACAACAAACTGATTATTTAGCGACATATATTTAGCGGCGGTTATACATAACCGCCTCTAAATGACTATTTTGAGGCGGTTTAGAAACCGCCGCTAGTTTAATATAAGAAACTTGTTAGCAAAAATAGAAATCTAAATAATTAATTTTTAACGTCAATTACTTGCGGCGGTTCATCATAACCGCCGCTAAAATATTTTTTAAGAAGGTAATTTCTAATATAGATATATATTATATTACGGAGGATATTGAGTCAGCAACATTCAAAAGCCAAAAAATCACCCTACCCATTACCCAAACCGGCACAAATTTAGAAGAAGGGTTTTACAAAAATCAACTCTGAAATCCTGCGTCTGCTCCGACCTGTCGAAGCCTCTTCCGACCTCCACCGGACCACCAGCCCCTCTAAAGTGTGTGCTCCACGGCGGTACGGCTCCACCGCAGCACCTCTTGGATGAAGTGTTAATCTGCTCTACCGCTACAGCCTCCAGTCCTCCTTGAGTTCGGCGGTTGGCGTCTCCTACAACCTCCGTCTCCACCGCCACTAACCTCATAAAAAGGGAATTATTCCATTATAAGGTTTGTGACTCCTGTGAATTTCTCACTGATTTTGTTCTCAAGGAGTGTGTGTGTGAATTTATGAACCAGTGAGTACATACTTTTTTTTTTTCAAATATTGATTTTTGGCTTTCTGGAATTCTTTTAAATACTTTTAACTGCTAAATACTTTGATCTCTTAATGCATATTGAGATGGTTACACTCTAGGATAGTATGTCTTAGATCTGTAATTGGTTGATTTGTAATGTAGGTACCCCGATGAAGGAAGCAATCAACAATCTTCACAAGGGAGTGGAAAGCAAAATTCATCTTCTAATCATCATGTTAATGGACAATCAGAGTATGCTGAAATTTTGTCTTCACATTTCCATATTTTATATGCTTTATTTGCTCATAATATTGCATCCAGATGCCAAAACATGACTTCCATCTTGCATAGTAAAAAGAATCTGTTTTGGGGGTGGGGAGATGAGGGTGAGAATATGAAAGTGGATTTTTTAGAGTATTTACAAATTACACTACTATCTTCTCTTATAGTTCCTTGTTCAGTTTCATTATCAAAGCACAATAAAGAATCTGAACTTGTCTCTGTATGGTATTCAGTAGGAACTTTAGGGATTTTATCTGTAGTGCATGAAATGAGGCTTTTAGTTAATCATTGGTGTTTAACTTCAAGGTGCAAGTCCTATGCAATTCTTTCACCATGGTCCATTATCATGATCTAACATACTATGCATGGAAAATACCACTTAGGAGCTTGCATTGCTGCACATGATGTTCTTTGATTTCCTTACTTCCTAATACACTCAAGATGTCTGCCACTCTGCCTCCACTAATCATTAATCGTTTTATATGATTTAGGAATCCGCGGAGTCTGAGCAGAAAGTGATCGTTGCTGTAAAACAAGGGAACATGCTACCTTTGTATGTGATCATTGTGATGGCAATTCCTTTTTTTCCCCATTGAGTTAAAAAATTGACAAGAATGACCCCTCAATTGATAGAAATTGGGCAGAAATAGTCCCTCTGCTTTTGCTTTTGTTATGAATTGCTTTTGCTTTTGTTAATTTCTTTATTAATGGATTGTAAACTACATTTTGTAATGTAGGTATCAGTCTATCATATGAAGAAAGTGGTCATCAATCTTACCGGAGAGTGGAAATGAATTTTCATCTTAAAGAAAACGGGAAATTTGTTGCATGATAGCGCATCACGTTGAGTGGAATACAATGTTGCGTTATATTTTTCATATAACGCATACTTTTTAGTTATAAATGATACTATTATTTGACAAGCATTATTTCCAATTAATTTTTTTAATATGTAGAATTGATTTTTCTTTTAATATGTGAACTTCGTTGAATATTGTTAAACTTTAGTGTTTGAAAATACAAGTTACATTTGATTTTCTTCTAAATTAAATGTGTATTTATTTGTGTTTACAATGCACATATGAAAGTAGAGGTTAAGTAATTTAATGGCAATTACAAATTTTAATAGCAATCTAGATGAGAAAATAAAAATATATTTTAGCGACACTTATAAAATCGCTACTAATAACTGTCGCTAAAATTTAAAATCAATATAAAATAAAAATTTAAAATCAATATAAAATAAATATTAGCGGCGGTTTTAAAACCGCCGCTAAAGTTTAAATTAATATCAAATAAATATTAGCGGCAGTTTTAAAACCGTCGCTAAAGTTTAAATAAATATTAAATAAATATTAGCGGCGGTTATAAAACCGCCGCTAAAGTTTAAATAAATATTAAATAAATATTAGCGGTGGTTTTAAAACCGCCGCTAAAAGTTAAAATAAATATTAAATGAATATTAGCGGCGGTTTTAAACCGCCGCTAATATTTAAAGTAAATATTAAGAAACTTTTAGCGGCGGTTACAAACCGCCGCTAAATGCATTCAAAACCACCGCGAAATAAGTTTCCCATGAATTCCCGCGGTTGTAGAAAACCGCCGCTAAATGCTTCGCGACACACTATTTAGACGCGGTTGAATAACCGCCGCTAAACATACTAGTGGCGGTTTGGAACCGCCGCTAAACGCCTGATTTGGTGTAGTGTCTATTCTAACCTAAAAATATGAAGGAGAATGAAAGAGAGTGTCTAGGGTTCTAACAAGAGTAAAAACCAAGTAGAAATGACAAAAAATCGAACTTTAAAAAAAAAAAGGCAGAGCACAGTAACACGGCCAGGGACATGACCACGTCCCTGGCCGTGTCCAAAACGGCAGTAGCTACTGGAATGCACAGAAAATACACGGCCACAGACATGGCCGTGCACTTGGCCGTGTCTTTTGGCCTTCAAAACGTCAGAATTTGGAATTATAGTCTTCAACAAAGTTATAGCCCTTCGATTCTTCTTTCCAATGGTGCAAGAATCACTTTATTTGGACATTCTTAGGCCGAGATATGATCCAAAAACCAAACAGTGGTCAGTTTTGGATTGTCAGTTTGAAACTTCAACTTCAAGGACAATTTGGACCCCTTTGGCTTCCTTTATAGGCTTTGATGTCTGAATATGAGTTGTAGATCTTTGAGTCTTCTTTCCAATGGGACAAAAATAACATAATTTGGATATTTGTAGACCGAGATTCTGCCCGAAAACAGAACAGTGGCCAATCCATGCGAGAATTTCAGCTTGTTGACACTTGTTCCACTTTTGCCTTGGTTTAATTTGTCCATAGAGTTAATTCCAGCAATGGTCCTCCGACTATATTGATTTTCCAAAATTAGTCCTTGACTTTTAATTTGGACACTTTAGGTCCTTTGACTTTCAATTTCTTTCCAATTGAGGTCCTTTCGTCAGAATACAGTTAATTGAATTTTAAATGTAGGGGTAAACTCATCATTTCACCTGCCTATGTATTATTCTTAGTATTTCTTCATTTTATACGTGATATATATGAAGATAATGTTAGTCGAAACCCTAAAATGTTCCTCGTCGTTCCCCATTTGCTGACTACTCGTGGGTGCGTTCCTCTATTATTGAGATGTTTACAAGGTATAACAGCGAAATACGAAGGGAGAAATACGAAGAATAATACATAGACATGTGAAAGGACGAGTTTACCCCTTCATTTAAAGTCTAATGAACCGTATTCTAACGAAAGGACCTCAATTGGAAAGAAATTGAAAGTCAAGGGACCTAAAGTGTCCAAATTAAAAGTCGGGGACTAATTTTGGAAAATCACTATAGTCGGAGGACCATTGCTGGAATTAACTCTTTGTCCATATGATCAACACCATTGAAAACATCACTCTTTGGCTCCTTTAGAAGTGTTGCATCCATCTCCTTAGATTAACCTTGGCTCCCCTTGACTCCAAATGCATCCAACATGATCTAAAATCATTCATTTCTACTCAAAGATAATGAATTGTGCATAATAGATCAAATGAGCAAAATAAAGATCATTTTGAACAACATTGTGACACTTCATAAACAAAACAAGGCTAAATATAAGGTAGACATGGGGTATAAATATGAATAATTATGCACTTATCAATAGACTAGGGGCAAGATAGGAGAGTTGGTAGTTAAGTGTGGAAGTGGGGAAAACAACGAATCAAAGAAAGTAAAGAAAACAAAGGAAACTAAAGAGAACAAACAAGAAGGTAAACGGGGATTTGGATGGAATTGGAGTTGTGGTTTGTGCACTCATTGGTCTTTAGTGGACAAGAGTGGTTGCAAGGTTTGGCTAACCTAGGGAGACCTAAGGCACCATCACTAGGACGCATAGGACCTAGTCTCTCATTCCCTACGGCGGGCAAGGCATTCTATCAAACACTTGGCGGGCAGTCTACTGTCTCCTCCCCTAAGCTCACCCCCTCGGGTCGTAGGAAGGGGATTGCAAAGGCAAGACTAAGGAGAGTGCAATCTCTTGCTAAACTCCCACTCTCACACTCATCTAACCATTAGGGCCATAATAGAAAGAGATCAATATGCACTCCTCTATAACAAAGGCATTCAAGGCCAATACATACAACCAATCTCATCATTCGTACATTCAAATCATAAGAACACAAACACAATCCAATACCAATCCAAATCCTAGAATTCTATCAATTCATCATCATCAATAGATAAAGAACACACAAATTAGATATGAAATATGAAGAAAGAGAAAAAATGTTACAAAAGTCTTCAATCTTTGGTTTTGAAATCCATAAGCAATGTAGAACAATGAATTCTAGGGAGGAAAATGAAATCTAATCTAAGAGATGAAATGGAAACCTAATCTAACCCTAATCTAAGAGAATTCTACCCTAGCTACTGTATGAAAATGTTCTCTAATGCACCCCCTTGATTTAGACCCATTATAAGAATTTAAATAGGCTGAAATATGCTTTTCCGCGAATCTGGCCGCACAACGCATTCACAACGCGCGTTGTCGGGTTAGTGGAACTTTTGACCTACCCGTCAACGCATATCACAACGCACGTTGTGAACTCGTTGTTGCGAATTTGCCTTTCATGTCTTCAGCAAAGTTGTAGCCCTTGAAGTTGTCTTTCCATGACCACTTGAATCAATACATTTGGACACTCCTAGCTCGAGATATGACATTCTACCGAACTGTTGCCGGAATGCCCTGAAAATGATAATGTTTTGCCGTTTTTCTACAAAAGCAAATAGAATTAGTCCTTAATCCTAACTTCTATTGAATTAATCTATTTAAGCATGAATTAGGCATAAAAGGCTCCAATTATAGCACAATTTACCGCCTAAATACCCTATAAAACATAGCATATTTGATACTTATCACAAATTTCCACACTTTACTTCTTGCTCGTCCACGAGCAAGGTTTCAATTCAAATCAAGGATTGATAACTGACAAAGATGCTTTATGTGAATTCAATCAAACAATTGGTCAATCGGAAAGAGTGTGTGACTCAACGGAGGAGGTGAAATCCTTCATGCTATCAAACAAGTGTGTCAACCACGTGTCATTCTTTGCAATTCAAGGAATATTCTAATGAAGCAAAAACCCCTAGCAAAGGATAAAATTAAACTCAAGGGAACACACTTTCCACACTAGTTCAAGCATGCAAAAATTTTCAAATTCACCTCCTATATTCTAAGGGCCTATAGTCGAGCCACACTAGTGGGAATGATGTGTACATCCCAACCGATATCCACCCTTATAACGCCAAGGTCCTTTACATTAAAGTAAGTGAAAGGTCACCAACCTTAAGCCAAAATCCAGTTTCCTCCGGCACGGAGCTCTGTGTTGTAACCCGGGGAAACTTTTTAAGGTCCCGACTTAAGCGTTGGTTCTCTCTCGCCTCCACCCTTATGCCAAAGATCGACTCCCCACGGCATAGATCTCTATGTTTAATTAGCCCGGGAGAATCTTTTGTGATCTCGACATAAGCAATGGCTCCCTCTTTCATTTTTCTCTCTCTTTTCTTTGGTTGGCCATTGTTTTTGGTATTGCCTTTTTCTCTTTTTCATTCCCTTTCTTCTTTCACTCATGGTTTTTCTTTTGGGATTAGGGAATTTTTTTCAATTCTCATCCACAAGGCTCACATTTTGCTCCAATACCTCACCAAGATTAAGTTCATTTCCGACCTTGCTTTATTTTATCTTTCCAAGGTTGAAGAGTACACACTCCCACTTCGAGAGATCATTTACTAAGGTCCAAATAATATAAGAGGTGAATAACATGCAAGCATACAAAAGATGTAAACCTATTTGGCTCTATGCAATTCTCACTTGGTGTAAAGAGGTAACTTCCAAAGAATACTTCAAGAATTAAATATTTTTGGCACATCATCACCACACTTCTAAGATAGCATAAACAATGACGCACTCTCCAATAAGACACACAATCATTCACCATGAACCAATCAATCAATTGAATTTCCAACCACTAAAACACAAAGTGCATCCTTTCCACACTTTAAAATAAACACCGCCCTCGATGTTACTTTAAGCACTAAGTGGAACAAGAAGGAGCACGAGTACAAACAAACTAAGGTGAAAGTCCCTTTCCACACTTTAGAAGTGGTACCGGGACTTGGGGTGCACAAAAGACAATGTGAACTATGATCTAACAAATGCATGCAAACCCCTTTTCACACTTTAGGAATAAAGATCGGGGCAAACTTAAAGAGTAAGGGATGTGGAGAATTTAACCAATGTGTAGATCAAATCCCTTTTGTAAGCAATGTAGCATTCAACTTGTTGGCCCCTTCAATTGTTTGATTCAAGCTGCAAAACATTGTTAGTGGCAAATGGACAACTCATAATAATAATGGTGCAAAAGGCAGTAACGGGATCATTATTATGAAAATAAAAGTAATAAAGAAAAACAATTGTAAAAGTAGTAAAATGTAAAATCCAATAAAGTAACACAAGCATG